TCTTTCATTTGTAAGCCTAGTTAAATTTGTCAATTTTATTTATCCCTTCAAACAGCAAGCTCTTGGTTTCACTCTTTTTTTAGCTTTTAGGGACCCTGAACTCCCTTCCCACCTTCTTGCTGTTCCCGTCTGTGGTATAGGATTGGTTCCATCAAGTTTGAATCACCTGACAAGGAGTGCAAGATGCAAAGAACCCCATGCTGCCTGGTTTGGGAGGGAGGCAGGAAGGGATTGCCTGGCACAAACTGTAGGTTATATCTCTAGTAATAGTTATATCTCTGTAGGTCTATAATCTCTAGACTGTGAGGCACCACGAATCATTTAAATTTTGCAGAGAGCTGCTGCTAGCTCTGTCTGCTGCCAGTTCTTGACTGACCCTGGAACATCTCTATGCACCACCACCACCAAATTTCCCTGTTGTGGGTAGGGAGTGTCCCTTGCCCACACTTCACAGACACTGGACTCCCAGTGACTGACACTACTGCTGCCAGATTCGGCTCTGATTTCCTGTTCATGTATATATCCTGCCTCACTTCTTCGCCAAAAAAATGCTCTGAGAATAGTCACCACACCGAAGTAGGGTTAGTGGCAGGCACTCAGCCTGTTTGCCTCTTCACTTTCCCCTCAGCAAGCCAGAACCTCAGCGTGAGCAAACTTTGAAAAGGTTTTCCATCTCTGTGATGGACCATCAAATCTTCCTTTGAGCTAATTTTATTTTCCTTTTAGCTGTGTTTAGGGAAGAGAATGAGCCAAGCCTTTCTATTCCACTATGTTGTAGAGTCCCCTCATTTCAAATAGAAGAGGAAACCTGAGGACCAAAATGGAAAAATTACTTGTACAAAATTAGATGGCGCTTCTTAGACAAGGTCAGAACACTCTTCTTTATGGCACTTTCTAGTTTCTGTATTCAAATTTAGGGCATTTGGCAAGTTAGGGCATTTGGCTCATGTACTGGCCAATCAACCCCTGTAGCACAAAAAGTAGAGTACTATTAGCTGTCCTGTCACTGTGGCCACTGTCGCTCATGCAGTACAACTCCAACTCCTTTTGAATTAACTGGGTTAGAACAGTTGGGAGTAATAGTACGTCCTGGTCATAGAAGTGTCACTAGAAAGCTAAAACAAACCTATTGCAAGTACATGCCACTATTGACTGACAATTGTAGGCAGTGTGCTCAACACTCAGTACCATAGCACTTGCCCCAATTTACAAACTGGGAGACCACCTCCTTGATAAATTAAAAGAAAACCCTTTCCAATAATTTTGATTGTATCCAGTTTCCTAAGTCAGATTTTTGCATCCAAAGGTAATGTGTTACAGGTTACAAAACTAATGTTGTTTAGTCTTGCTTTAGCCATCATTTGTACAATAGTCAAGTGCTGTAATATAAAAAGCCCTGAGAAAAGCCCAATTTGAAAAAGTGCATAGTAGGCTCTCAGTCCAGCTCATTCCTCCTCTCAGAGAAACTTGCTTTTAGCCTCCATCAGCAGCTGTTGCCACTAGAGGGCACCATCAGCACAGCTGGATAAGAGGATCTGCTTTGTCTTCTCACATTCAACCAGCCACCTGAGGTTCAGTCTGCCAACAGCTCATGTTTAGCCTCTTAACTCCATGTGTATGACCTTTCAAAGAAAATGGCATTTGACAGACACATAATAGTAATGAGCTCAGAAAAGCCAAGTCTGTTAGATGCAGTCGAGGAGAAACAAGAACCTAATACAGTAGTGAAAAGTAAAGGTGTTCAGAATCTGACCGGTTTGAAATGAGTTCTATAACCACATCAGGGCAGTTGTACGTCACTGAGGTTTATCTGTTAAAAAACGTCTGCCGTGCCTCTGCCAGAGTCTTGATGCTGGCCTCATTGACTCAGTCTGATTTGACAGATTGTGAATAAATAGAGAGGTAGCCTCCCAGCAATGGGAGCTAGGAAGAAGTCCTGAGGTACCTGGTACCAGATACTTCACTGTGAATGCACAAAGGCACCAGCTCTGCTCTGCTCCTATGAGCAGTCCAGTGGTTGGCCCCCACTGACAGCCCTATGCTGCAAGGAAGTCAACTAGATAGAAAACTAGTAAAGGTCTGAAAATGAAAGCAGCTATCTTAGAAATTAGAAAAAGTCATTTTAAGAGTATTTTTAAGTTGATTAACCTTATAACACATGCTTTACAGTCGCTTTAACAAATGATATGGAAAAAGGATATTCACTTCATATATTACAGGCAAATTAACTAAAATGACTTTAAAGTCTAAAACTTGAGAAGCAACACATTAGTAATGGAGCCCTTAACACACACACCCCCCCCTTTACATCATTGTACAGATAGTCAACAAGGAGGTTGGATGGACTTAAAAGGCATTTATAGACCCCTACCCCCCACCCCTCAGAAAAGCTGAGTGCACATTCTTCTCAAATGCATATAGAACATTCTCATAAGTAGACCATATTGGATCACAAAACAAGTGTCAGCAGATGTATAAAAACTGGAATATCAAGTATCTTCTCTGATTACAATAGTTTTGAACTAGAAATCAATCACAAAAAGGGAAAAATCCTCAATGATGGACACAACATGCCTTTGAATATACTTCTTTTGGTTAAGGAAGAAATCAAAGGAGAACTCTAAACACACATGAAGATGAATGACGGCACAAACAGCAGTGAGCATGGTATGGAAACCTCTAAAGAGGTATGAGTATATACTCCCAAATCCTACACAATGTTGTAAAACCACATTACCTTAATAAACAGTGGGGAGGGGAAAACTTTTCAGAAAACATCCAGGATAAGCTTTGTGACATTATTATAATATGTGATAGTAAATCAAGTTCAAGAAAGGTAAGGAATAGATAAATTGACATTGCACTATATCAGAATTTCAAACCACCAAACAAGAATAAAAAGGCAACCTATGTAATGAGAGAAAATACTTGCAAATAATCCTCAGTATGGTGGTATTTGTAGATGGGACATTTAGGAGGTAATATGGAGTGAAGCCCTCATGACAGGACTAGTTCCCTTACAAGAAGCACACTCTGTTCTGCCATGTGCACTTACAAGATGGGCATCTACAAACCAGAAAGGAGGCCTTACCAGGCATCAGATGTGCTCAGACTTTGACTATTAACATTCGAGCGTCTAACACCTGTGAGGAACAAATGCTCTGTCACACAGTTGCTGTTAATTTGTTGCAGTAGCCCAAACCAACTAAGACACCCACATTCAGTAGCATTATTCACAAAAGCCAAAAGGTGGTAGCAATCCAACTACCCGTTGATAGATAAGTGGATAAGCAAAATGTGGTATATTTACACAAAATGGAACACTATTCCACCTCATAAAGTTCTGACATGCCACACTATGGATGAAAACTCAGGAACATGCTAAATAAACCAGTTACAAAAAAAGAACAAATACTGTGTGATTTCACCTGTACAAGGTGTAGTAAGAGTTAAAAAGAACTGTGGTTGCCAGGGGCTGGGGAGAAATGGTGAGCTGTTTTGAGTATGGGTTTCCATTTTGTAAGATGAAAAACAAGTCCTGGAGAAAGGTTGTCTCCTTGTGAACAGACTTAATACTAATGAACTACTATCTAAATCACATTGTTCAGAGATTTTTTTTTTTTGAGGCTTAAAGTGTTGATACAATTAAATCATATTGGTCATAATGATTCAACCTCCAGTTCCTGTCCCCTTCCTTAGGAGCCAGGGTGGGAGTGCTAACGTTCCAAAGTAATGACAGGCTAACCAGCCCCCATTCTTAGGGGCTTTCCAGAAGTCACTTCATTAATATAAACTCAGGTGTGATAACCATTTCACTTTTATTGGTTCAAGGTATTTCATGAATTAGGAACAAATTCTTATATAGGAAATTTCAAGAATTTGAGGAGTTATGTGCCAGGATTTGGCACAAAGACCAAATACATATTTTTATTATAAATCACAATATTACAATGGTAATTGTATTTTCTCTTACTTGGTTTCAATTAACAAGATGCTACCCTCTGAAATATTGGCAGCTATAACTTAGTTGTGCTTGTTTTCACTTAGAAAGGAATTTTTAATGCATGTATTCAGAAAAAAGTATTTATTTGACACCTTTACAAAAATACTTAGGCACATAGTTTTCATGTTTATGTCACCTGATTTACATACCTTCAATCCTCAGTACCTTTAAAAAGCAAAAATGATCATGTAGTAAATAGAATCTATATTGAAAAAATATCAATAGGCCATTTGTAGACAAAAATCAATTGATCAGCATGGAAAACATATATGAACAAAATAATCTCTACAGACACTTTTGTGAGACAATAAATCTAACCAGTAGATTTTTTTTAAGTATTTTCAAAAAAACAAAGCTTAAAAAAAACAACACCATAAAACATCTCATACCACATGAAGTGGCAGCCTAACAGTGAGAATAAGAAAATAGGTTTAGGAAACATTGATGATGCCAGAAATTCACAAACATCAACTGAGATAAACCTGAACCTGTGTTTAATTTGGAGAAGGAACACCCAGCCTGTAAAGGATCTACCAAAAGGTAACACACTAGGAAATTAATTGAATCATCATTCAGAAGTATAATTATCTTTCCCTAAGACCGAAAAGTTTCTTTTTTGAAATTTACCATAAAAATGAGCCATTTTTGTTTTTGTCTTTAAAAAACCAGTTGGAACCAAACACATGCCTTTTGCAGCAACATGGATAGAGCTGGGTCATGCTTAGTGAAATAAGCCAGAAAGAAAAGGAAAAATAACGGATGGTTTCACTCATAGCAGGAGTATAAAGGACCACGGGAGAAAATAATAATAATAATGAACAACTATATACCAGAGACATTTTATGGTGGTGGAGTAGGGAATGGGATCAAAAATGGGGGGAAAAGGGGCAGGAAAGTGTACCGGACTATAGTGATGGCACATGGGTTATTTGGTGATGGGAAGCCTCTGGGGATTACAGCTGAGATGGAAAAAGGTACAAAATGATGTAAAAATAAACTATTACATTATTAAAAAAAAAATAGCTGGAACCACCTGCCTCACACAATGTCCACAACTATGTACAGTGATCACAAGCCATTAAGCATTTCCAGAGGCCATGAAGTAGGCAGTCACATCTTTCAAGAAAATGCTAAATATGCTTCTAGCATTTACAAAGCACAAATTGCTCCCTAAATTGCCAAGTCTATTCCTCTCTGACTCCAAGCAGTCAACCATTGGCTTCCTTGAAAGAGCTAGTATCCCCTTTTTTCATTCCATTAGAGAAGGGCAGTTCATGGTTATGGTTCAACAGAAAAAACATGAATTTTGAATCATTAGCAATTCACCTACTTCCTCTGAGTCTAGTTTTTTTTAACAATAAAACTGACAGTAAGAGCCATCTGACACACTATCCTCCCACTGGAATTTTCTCAGGTGTTTAAGAGAAAAGAGTGACTCAGGACCTCTTAGATAGAGCTGATAACTATGGGCCATGAGGCTAATTCTAATGACCCAGCATCACTGGTCAGACTCTAATAAAAAATAAACCAAAATAATGGAAAGTCATGAATTATAAAAATGACCTCAATGTAAATCTTCAAAAAGAAAACATTCTCTGTCCCCTGTTGAAACACTAAATACTAATTGTTTAGGCAACAGACCCCAGTGGATTCCAAACCAAACAATATCCACATAAAATAGATGTCCAACCAATCACAGGACGGTTTGAATTTAATAGCCTGACTCCTTCCCAAAGAGGCAATTCAGGCAATGCCCATCCTCAGCAGTTCTCCCATGCAGCATGATCTTGAGAGAAGCTAGTATGCTAATTAAGTGAACCAAGATGGCATGTAGGTGGAAGTATCCACAGTAATTGTTATGCCCTTATAGGTGGTGATCGCAAGACCAGGCCTTGACAATGCAGAAACATGTAACCTGCCTTTCTCCCCAAACCAATACATTCTAAAAGGTCACACTTAGTCAAACTGAGTAAAAAGAATAGCAACCAAATCCCCAGAAGAGGGAAGCATGGGGAAACAAACAGTAGTCACCTTACCTGCTGCCATTTCTCAGAGAAGAGCTGAGCTGTATGGTTTTCAAAAGGCAGCTCTTCACAATGATTTAATCAATCACGCGGTTGCATTTGGACCCGGCACTGCAGAGTAGGTAGGGCAGGTGCGTCTAATCTCATTTACAATAACTTAGTTTCAGAGAGTTGTAAAAGCAGTTTCTGTGACTTGTTTATAGTCTCAACATCTTCTAAATGGATCAACAGAGCTTAGTTCTCTCCTGCTTTCAATCACTGTAGCAGGAATGAGGTTATTCAACTACCTCCAAAAATAGCTATGTATCCCATGCACTTAGCACAATGTCTGGCACATATTGCATATTAAATAATTTAAACTGAATGAGTGAATCATACAAATAAATGATTAAAGGCCTATTTCTCCACCCCTTCATCATATACTCATCCTACACAATAAAGGGAACAGTAGATTTTTAAGGAATGACCCTTCATCTGGTGAGTTCTCAGGCAAGCCAAATAAAAATTAAAGCAATTTGAAGTCCCCATGTATTTCTTTTAAGCTCCAACAAAGTCAACTTTCGCAAATGCAGTGAAGCTATCAACATGAAGAAAATATCATTTTAGAGAAATAAAATTGAAAGAAGAGAAATTTCAAATGCTTGGCTGCATTTCCAGCAGAGAGGCTACACTGCCCTCAGATGCAGCCAACGATTTGAATGATGAGCTCCAGCTGGAGCACTTCACATATACAGCTCTCAGGGACACCTGGATAGCAAACAATGGAATAAAATATTTTCAAAACAATGATGTTTCACTGTCGGCAGAAGAAAAATAAATAAAAAATCCTGGTACATTTTCCAGTCTGATATAAATTAATTCAAACGGCACATTTAAAAAAGTCAATTACAAGTTTCTCTCATAAAATTTTAAAAGGCAGCAATCAATCCTCAGATTGTGTAAGTGCAAAGGAATGGTATTTTCTCCATGATCAAGACACTCAGTATCTGTGAGAACTGCCAGTGCTCCATGCTGAAGGAAAACATGGCCTATATAACAGAAGCAATCCCCTGATCATACTGCTCCTTTCCCTTTAATGTCCAGCTTGTTACTGGCCTCTGACTGTTTGCTCAGCTGTTCTTCAGAGAAAGTGATGTAGGAATACACCAGGCTCCCAGCAATACTGCAAAACAGAAAAATCTCATCAGGAAGACAGGAATTTCAAATGCAAATGAGACTGGTGTGAGAGGTTTGGTGCTTCCTTTATAAATCAACAGCACAAAAAATTAAAATGGAAAACTGCATTTTCAACTACTAGAGACAATCCTTGTTATGATTGTTCTCAATGCTTTGTGAAAATGCACATATACTGCATATATGTGTCAGTAAAAGAATGCCAATTTTATGCAACCTTTCTAAAAACAATTCATTGAAATAACAAACCTCAGTATTCTAGTCATCTGACTACTTCATGGATTAACTGTATATCTTCAGACTTACCAACAAAGTATTCACCACAAAACTTAGAACAGCAAAAAATTAGAGGGTATATATCCCACAGTGGGAAATTAAATAAGTTCACTTAATAGAATATTATGCATCTATTAAAATGAAAATAGGCAATGCTATCTTAAATGAGTAAATCTCACAAAACACTAAGTGATTGTGTAATTGCTATTAAAACAATCATGAATATGTACATCAGTATGTATCAGAATAGAAAATGTCTGAAAGGAACACTCATCAATAATAATAATAATGGTTACAATTGGATGGTGAGATTAAAATAATTATTCAAGACAAAAGCTATCTTTAACAAGAATTGAAAACATCCCAATTAGTTATAAACATGGGGACCTTGGGAAGTATCACAGAGCTGGTTTCTATGAGTAGAGTTGAGTTCACAGAGAAGAATATCATCTGAGCCCTTCCTTATCCCCTGAGCTGATTCTTGTTACTTCTTCCTGTATACCACACCCATCAGGAAGGTTAACTCTCTGGAGATAGTGAATATTCTTGCCTCCTGTCTATGGGAACTTCAAAGCCACCTAGGAAACACAGCCTCCTGCCTATCACTAAACTGAAAATAAATGGGAATAACTCACAGAGCACACACTCCCATTTGTTCTGACCTGATATTCCACTGAGTTTGTCATCAATGACGCACCTGATCTCCAGGTGGCAGGCTGGCCTAAGCGCTCCTTTTAGATTTTCTTGTCCTGGCGTTGATCCCACTGCTGACCACTTCACTCATAAGCTTGCTACTTAATAAAATTAATTCTGTTCTCAGGAAGCCTCAATCACTGCAACAAAGTGATAGAGGTCTAGATCCTCTTCCATGAGTAAGGAAGCATGACCAGCTCTCACAGCACTTAATGATTAAACTGTAATCATTTACTGACACTTGCTACATGTCCAGGACTTAAGGTAAACCTCCTAGCATCTCAATATCCTTGCAAGAAACTCATTTTACAGATGAAGAAACTGAGATCCAGAATCAATTAGTTTCACAATGGCATCCAAAATATGGAGCAGAATAAATCCAATCAGTCTGATATTCTCCACTGCAAGTTTCCCCTTCCTTATGGTCTCTTCTTCACTTGATATTGTAATACCGGTATCAGGTACTGAAGATACCAGTCCTTACTTTGTTCACATCAGTACATAAACTTCCCAAGGCAGTACCTTTATGAGCTCTGCTGAGTACTTTGCACAGGGTCTAAAACGTTGTGACAATACAATCTGTAGTTGCTGAATTCCATATCTATTATAGTCTCCATTCCACCCCACCCACACAGCCCCCATCCCAGCAATCCTTATTCCGCTTCCCTGCTTTATTCTTCTCCCCTATTTATCACCAGCAAATATTTCACTCACTCAACTTCTTTCATTTTTCTCTCCCCTAATAAATAGAATTAAAACTCCATGAGAGTAAGAGTTTTGATCAGTTTTGATAGCAGCTTTATTCTCAATGCTTAAAATCATGCTTGGTACATAGATGGTTCCTACCATACATTTGTTTAAGAATAAATGAGTCTTCTGGCTGGATGACAAATTTCCTTAAGATAAAAATTAGTCTATGGCATGCACTGTCATTTTTTTTAACATACAGAGCAGGTTTGACAGTTCTGATTCATCCTGGCTATGAGAGGAGACAGGACAATAAAGACATATCATAGGTAAGCACACAAACTCTGGAAATGTTCAAGACAAAGAATGGCCCTTTTAATCCCTTATGTGGCTTTATATGGTGAAATTATGGAGCAGATTCTTAGAATCTGGCCAGGACTAGAATCTCAATTCTGCTTCTTACTTTAGTAGCTGTATTAGCCTTAAGCATGTTATTTTACCTAGTCTCAATTTCATTATCATGTGAAGTAGGGAATGATTAAATGAGATGACATTTTAAAGGTGGCTGTCATACAGCAGATACTCAACAAACATTAACTTCCTATCATTTGCCCTCCCAGATATCTATTAATGTCCTTTCTATGCTGGGGTTAAGTGCTGGTCTGTGTGTATATGCACACTTTAAAAATCGAAGTAACTTTGTAACAGAAATCTGGCTGGATGTTTCCCATTTCATCTGCCTAGAACTTTTAGGACTATGCTCAGAAATAATTTTTTTTAATTAATCAAAAGTTCCTAAATCCTATTGTGATGGTCTTTGGCATACATGCTTTTACATGGACAGTGTGTGTTTTATTATCTGATATGAGCTAGGCAAAGGATCTCTTAAAATCACAATTTTGGTGAGACCCCATGTACATACATAGACTTTTTTTAAAAGACCCTATCCTATGTAAAGGTAAAGAAAGGGAAGAATATAAGCATAAAAACTTGTTACCAACCTATTCTTAGTGTTTAGTGCTGCTTTTTTTGGCAGACAGGCAGGAAGATTGCCATTCTTTTTAAAAATAGCTTTTTTGTTTTTTGGATTTCTTGACACCTTTGAAACTATTCCTCAACTTGGGAATGAATCCAAACTACTCCAGCATTTTCTCCCCTAAGCCTGTATGCCTTTTTATTTTTTTTCTTTTAAAAAAACATTCAAGTATGTGTGGAATACTTCAATGAAGACTGAAAGGTTAACATACTGTCTGTGTTTTCCATCATATAAAGAAGTTTCTTCAACTGTCACAAGTCCACTGTAAAAGAACATTAGACCTACTGACCACATGGTGTGGTTTCCCTAGGGCTTCCTCAGGATGAGTCACAGAAGTAGATGCACAATTAGGACAGACAACTGTAGCCTAAAAACTAAGAACAGAGGTCATTAAAAGTGAGTTACAGATACTAGTGACAGCAACAGAACAGACTGTTTGCTACATTCCAGTTCCATGACTATGTAACCAAGGAACTAGCCTCCTTACGTCCTGTTCACAATTCCAAATTATAGTCTTGTAGATGTTATAAGAGTAATAACTAAATGATAATACACAGAAGGTCCTTCTCTTTCTCCAAATGATAGAACCATTAAGCAAAGAAAAACCTTACTTCAGGAGGAATCTTGAATTAGAAGAGAACCTACTAGGGCAGAAATATTCAAGAGGAGAAGCAGTCTGCAACCACAAAGCAACCATACTTCTAGGGAAACAGGCAAAGAAGAAATGAGGATGCTGCAGATTCTGGTGCCAGAAGGAGATACTGAGACCAGAGTCCACAGGAAAGAACTCTGAGCAGCCCCACACTCCAACCCAGAGACTGTGTAGGGGCTGACTTCTTCTTATGAACTATAGTAAACTAGTTTCTGTTACACAAAAGAAGGCTGACTTAAGAGTATGTAACCAATGTGATCCAAGTGACATATCCATAGTGCAATACCAACCAGCCAAAAAAAAAAAGCACCTACTAAAGGAACCTGCAAAAACATAGATGTAAAGTTAAATACAACATGTTAAGTAAAAGACAAGGCATCAGATCAAAAGTGGTATGGTAGATACTATATACCATTTCCAATCAAATGAAATCTAAATGACTCGTCGTATAGTTTGGTTTTTATATTTAAAGGAAATAATGTCCACAACCTAAATAGTGGAAGATTAAGCCAAAACACAATAAAATTCTATTTTAAAGGAATAAGTGAAAAAAATGGAGAATATTTTCCCTGACAAAAGCTGAAAAGCACACTATTTTGAAAACAGTTTAAACAAAAGTTCACATAATTGCAATCTGTAAACAATTTGAATAAGCATATCACTTATTCTTCTAGCCTTGTAAAAAAAGGGGGGGAATAATATCTTTTTTAGACTTCAGGGTTCATGGATTCACCCTGGGAAATGTTTCACCAGAGCTCCCCTTTCAGCAACATGTAGCGAGTTCCCCAGGCAAATTTCTCCATGAAACAGAGACTCAGTTATATTTAAAGAGCAGGTTTACTAGGGGAAAGGGTAGAGGGGTAAATGACTCTTGCACAGGCACAAGTGGGCAGAAAGAGCTGCCCCGGAAGGTCAGCTCTGCTGAGAGAGGCCTTGATGGTTGCAGGCGGGCGGCTTTAGGAGAGTGGGATCCACTGAGGGAGGTCAGTGCAGAGAAGTCCTGGCAGGTACAGTCCGCAAGCAGGCAGAAGGCTGCTGCCCTGCAGAGGGAGAGACTGGGTGAAAAGAAGCATCTGCATAGGCACAGTGGGCAGAGAAGTGCTGCCCCAAGCCAGTGCAGAAACTGCCCTGATAGAATCCTTTTCTCTTTGGGAAGGGCTCACTCCTTTGTGGAGTAGCCTATTTGCTGCTATTTCGGTTAACTATGTGAAATCTCATACTGGCCCAATCTGTTATCTTTACCCTCAGGTCTGTGCTTCTGATATTCCTCAGCAGTCTGATATAGGCATCTCTATGACTGGGTTAATGGTCATGTTTGTTCCTTCTGCCCCTACCTCCTTATATGAGTGAGGATTTGACCTTGTGATGTCTCCTTCAAGTTTTCTATTCTTTTCCTCCATCAGGAGAACTAAAGAGATATGGCATATAAAATATGTTACCATAAAATATAAAAGCAATTAGAATTTATTTTTTTTAAAGAAAAGATTTATTTATTTATTTATTTATTTCATACAGAACTAGGGTACAAGCCAAAGGTACAAGGGCGGTGAGAGGCTTCACCAGAGACAAAGTGGGGAGCAGAAAAGATGCAATACAGTGCTGAGAAGAGCAGCAGGCTGGCCAAGAGAAGTCGGCCACACCATGTGGATCACCTCCGGGGTCGAGGATTGAATTAGCACTGAAGCAGCTGCGGCTAGTTTGCTGTGCTGTGTCCTCACCAGCTGCGCCACCAGGAGGGCCAGAATTTTTTTTAAATACTGCTTATAGACAGAGTACTTACTGACATTATCAGCTAAATTGGCTAGGAAAGTAGTTCTCTTTCACCAGAACTACAATGCACTACTTGAGACAAACAAAAAGAATTCTACTAGAAGAATTTTCAAGATTCTGGATTTGTATGTGTTGTGATAGGCTGACATAATGTTCCAACATACACAGGTACCTAGATTTTTAAATAGGTTGTAATGTGAAAAAAGATACCTAACCTTAATCTTAAAAGATACTATTATCAGAGATATGAACTGCAGAGATCTGAAAATCAAACAGAACTTGACGTTTTTACATTTAGCTATCAGGTTATTTAATTGAAAAGAGCAAAAGAAGGTCTGCATTAGTGTCATAATGATACTTTAATCCAGATTTTTAGAAATGAATGAAATTCTGGTCATATCCAAACTCAGGTGGTTTAACCATGCTGCTCCTTATACATTGGCCTTTTATAACAAGTACTACTGAAAGAACTGACCTTTACAAAGCAAGATGTCTGTGAATTAGGTAGTTCACATTGACTTGCTTATATATAAAAAGGTAGAGAAAGTATTACTATTCATTTAAGAAAATATCAATTTAGAAAGGTTACATAATTTGCCACGTTTAAAAAAATGGTACCACCATATTCCCGTAAAAGCTTTATCCAAAGTCCAAAGTTTTGTAACTTTTTCACCAATCCATATCGAATTCAGCAAAGGATTATTAAGCAAGTAATAATATTTCTATTATTCTAGAACTTGAAAAACATCAATGAACAATATAAGCAGAAATTCCTAACCATCATGGAACATACATTCCAGCAGGGGCAACAAAAAATATGAACAGCAAATTACATAGATATTAGAGAATGATTAAGTGCTCTGGGAAAAGATACATTAAAAAAAATAAGATAGCCTGGGATTTTCAGAAATTTTACAATTTTAAATAAGATGATCAAGATAGACTTCATTGTGAAGGTACCTGTTACTAAAACTTATACCCATAAAGGAATTAGCTATGCAAATAACTGGCAGTATAGTGTTCCAAGAAGAGGAAATATCCAGTCCAGAGGCCCTAGAGGAAGAGTCCTATGTGAATTAAGTGAAATAAGAGAAGCAGGAGCTGAAATTTATAGAGGTAATGAGGGGCTAGATCATGGAGGGCCTTGTCAGACTCTGGGACTCAACAGCCATTGTGGGATGAAGTTTGGTGTCTGTGTGACATACTATGACTTGGTTTTTAAAAGGAATACATAAGTACTCAGTTGAGAATTGATTGAGTGTTATGTGGGGGAATGAGTCAAATCAGGGATACAAATATAGAGCACTAGCTCATGATTTAGGCAATAGATAGTAAGGGTTTAGATGATAGAAGGAATGCAGACGATGAGAAATGATCCTTTTCTGGAAACATTCTGAAGTTAGGGCCAACAGAAACTTACACACTGGATATTGGGTATAAGATCTAATGCCAAGGAGACTCCCAGCTTTTTGAACTAACATCTGAAAGAATGGAGAGTTCCCACTAAGTGATGAAGCTATGGGTGGAACAAACTTTGAAGGAAATAAGCGGACTTGTTTGATAAGTCAGCTGGATATGGGAAGTGAGTTCTTATACAAGTCTAAGATATACAAATCTAAGCTCAGGACAGAGATCTGCCTCAAATGTAAATTTGAATAATTTTAAATATATAAACAGTATTTAAAACCATGACATTCAAAATACTCAAACAAAAATATTTTCCTCACAAGTCGCCTTCTTCACTGATACAGGTAAGTAAGGTCTGAAGGAAAGTAATGATATGTCCAAGGTAAGACACATATAAAGCAATTCTATAATAGCTAGCATTCTTTTTCTTAATTTTCTTTTAAATGAAGTAGCATTGTATTACAACAATGTATTAGTTTCAGGTGTGCATCATTACAAATCAACATTTGTAGATTTCTACATTAAGTTCATCACTGAAAGTACAATTCTATTGTTCATCATACAACTGACACCTGTTACCTGAATAACCCATCTCCTTTTCCCCTTCCCTTCTGGAAACCACTAGTTTGGTCTTCTAGTCTGGAGAACTGGTATTCTGTAGCCATGAGTTTTCATGAGACCACAGCCCTACCATCCAGCATAATAAAGAGAAGACTAAGGAAAAGGAGCTCAATGTCCAGAAAGATTACCTAGATACCATACTTAAAACACAGCACCATTTACTCCCCCTTTCTTAAATAGCATTATCTAAAGACAGTAAATATCAAAAACATCAGCATAGCAGAAGTGAGACATAAATGTTTAATGAATAGTAACCCATTAAATCAATATCTCAACTTTACTGTGATACTATTTGCATATTCAAATCCCACTTGTCAAAGTAATTACTTTGTCAGTTTTGCTTACCTGATATTTAAGCCAATGAAGTTTGTCCATGTGAAAATATAATCTCCACCAAAGACCATTCCAATATAAGTTATTAGTATATTCTGAAAAGAAAAATAAGTTATTAGTATATTTTGCAAAGAAAAATGGTAACATATGGTCACATAGATTTAGCAGCTCTTAAAATAAGCATATCCTCATTCATGCTATGACCGAAATACCTACAAAAGAAACAAAAACAAATAGACAATAATATAAAACCCATCAATTTGTGAGGGGGGAAAGAGTGAAGAAGGAAAATCTGCTTATATCCAAGCACCTTTCTTTCTTCTTTTGAAAAGGAAAAAGACTTGGTGGAGAGTTTACCAACATGAAGACTGTTTTTAGAGGACTATTCCTTGGCATCTTTAAAAAAAAAAAAAAACATGGGAAATCATCTCAAAGCAATATACCTGAAATCACCTATCTTGACTGCTTGAAAATCCAAATGTAAACATCTGCTTATCTGGCTCCCTTTTAGTTATCCTCAGATCACAAAAGTGAAATAAAATTTTCCAAAATTCTAATTATTCATTTCTTCCCCCCACCTTCATCCAGAAGGTGATATTACAATTCCCAGAAATGACACATGGGCTCTACTAAATTAGGTCTATGAAGCTAAAACTAAAGTTTCATGGTGTTTTTAAAAGACTAAACAAACTTTAAAATTGTTTTTAATAATGAATGCCCCTTGAGAAAACAGTCAAAATTAAGTCAACTTCTCTTAGATCTAAGGATGGAATCAGCAAGTTACTTTAGGCAGATTCTCTTATTATTTGAAGGAAAAAAAAAAACCAAGTAATAGTATATATTGCCAGCAGGCAACCTGGGAAAGTGTGTAACAGCACCTCTCTTGGAATACAGAGATCCATCTAGAGTTAAGCCCTTTAGATTAACTAGCACATATAAACCCAGGGAACTTCAGAAAGGGAAAGTACAGAAAGCATAATCCTTGCTGCTCAAAATCAATCAGAAATCAGGAAAACTATTGGGGTATATTTGGTCTTTCTAACCAAGACCTGTTATCAGGTAAAGGCATCAGAGCCCTCAGAGCAGAACCTATGTGAAGCACAGTCTATGCTTATATCTCAAAACCAAGATTACATTCTCAAACTTCAATATACCTAAGAATCATCTGTAAATCTTGTGAAAAATGATTCCCAAAATCTAAGTATTGTGATTCCACATAGCTGAGATGGGCCTGAGAACTTCTACTTTAACAAGCTCACCTTAGTAATTTTCCCACTAACACTTAACAGAAGCAGAGAATGATGACCCTTGAGTTTATAGGATTAGGATCCTCAAGCATAGGGGAATTGAATGCTCTCTGGAGAACAACAGTGAAGCTATAGGGTTGTGGTTGAGAGGCTAGTGCAAGAAGACCCACTGCACTGAGGTCTGTGAGACTGTGAAGCACTATACTCCCTTTCGCCTTAAAGCATAAAACCACCTAAAACAGCAATATCATGTAGCAGTGAGAAGTACTAGCAACAAAAACTAATCAGACAACCCATTTTTTCCCCTTCCTCTACAGTTTGCAAGAAAAAGTGATCCCTTTGGACTGCGTAAGACCATACAACTACAGGGAGACGTAGTTGTAGACGTATCAAAAGTACTGGGCGTTATGTTAACAAGAATATGATTGTATTTGTACCCCAAGCTGATAATAATAAAGAACATACATTAAGAAATTCTAAAGAAATAGATATAGTTATTAAAATTAAACATAGGCTTTCCTGCATCATCCTTCTCTTTGGTCAAAAAATGGTACCAAATACCCTGTCTCTCCTGTTCTTGCTTGTTCTTATTCTGAAGATGCAAGCCATCTTCTTTGTTCATGAAGGATTCACTTTAAAAAGACAAAGTACAGCTGTGAGAGCTAATATGGGGGCTAGAACTGTCTCAACCATCCCAAACCTTTGAATGCAGATTAACTGTTCCTAGCTTCATGGGAAGTCACACAATGGACTTGTTATAGCTTAATTTAGAATTCTATTCATACCAAACACGCCAATGCTGTGATTTGAAGCCACAGACCTTCTGGTGTTTTAACTCAACTCTAGCTTCTAAAATGAGGTGAGGTGGGCAGCAATCCTTTAGGGGTGCAGAGTAAAACACAGCAGAGTAGGAAGAAAGCCTTACTTCTGCAACCCCTTCCCTCACAACTAACAAATAGAACATGAGAAAGATGTCAAAGGGAAACTACACCCTCTTTCTCAAATGATCAAGAGTCTACCTCTCTCTGTTTCACCTTTTTAGAAAGACTGATTTATTAGGAATTCAGGCATGCTGTGACCTCTTGAATCTCAAAGTACTAGAATCACAAAATCAGATAAAAGAGGCCTTAGACTGCAATCCACTAACTTTAGTTCAATATTCAAGTCAAGTTGGCTCTCCTGGCTGAAGACAAATGAACCTCCCTCAAATCAAACAGGTCAGGAGGAAATGACATCACTGGAAATGTTGGACACAGTTTTTGTTAAGTGGCCCATTTAAGGTTTGGCACAGGAATAGGAAAACTCCCTGATTAGCTTCTGGCAAGCACCCTTTCCTTACAAAACAGCCAGAACTCAGTGAAGGAGAGAAAAGAAAAGTACTCATTGTGGGTTCCAGGGACAGGCCTATCACTACTGAGTTAGTCACCTGCCCTGTCAGAAATAGGCCTAATTCTTCTACTTCTACATTCTCCATTTCCCACATGCTTCAGGGATACAGCTGCCAAAAAGTAAATACTATGCCCCTCCTGAATTCTTAATGATTCTTTCAGAAACCATGACCACAATGTTTTAGTCAAAACAATATGAGAGAAACAAGGATAATGCATCTTGAGGTAATAGCCAGACTTAAATCGGAGGAATAATTTGCAAATAAGCAGATACCAAAAAGATAACAGTATTTTTTTCCGGCTTACCTTAATACAGCCAACTATTGTAGTTGTAAGAGCAGAATTATACTGAGTGCAAAGTACTGTGGCATACATCAAGATAAACCTGAAATGAAGAAAATTATGTTTTCCTGCTTTATTTTGTGATGGGGGAGGAGGAAGGATGCCCAGCCTCCCCAACAGAAATATCTTATAAGAAAGATCCATTTGCTGGCCCTCCCTGGTGGCACAGTGGGTTAAGACACAGCACTGCAAGCTAGCTGCAGCTGCTTCAGTGTGAGTTCGAGATCCCCAGCCCCAGAGGTGACCCACATGGCACAGCAGAGCTCTCCTGACCCACCCACTGTTCCTTTCAGCAGTTTACTTCATGGATCTCCCCACTCTGTCTCTGGTGAAGCCTCTCTCCACCCATGCACCTCTGGCTTGTACCCAGCTCTGTATGCATAAGTAAATAAATCTTTACAAGAAGAAAGATCCATTTGCTTACTTTATTAAAAAAACTCTTGCCAAAAGACACAGTCAATGTTGCCCATGCTAGCACATTATAGACACTGTGAATTTTTTCCACCTCATTGCTGTATCAGAGCTTTAAAATTTTCACTAAAGGGAATACATGTCCATATCCTAGTCAGGTATTTTTTAGCTACCCTCACTAAATGCTTGAAAACGTCATTCATAATCCTGAATATTGTTTTTAGGTCACACCTAGCCCAGAGAGAAAGGTCAGAGCCTATACCTAAGCTGAGGTGTGTACCTCCTAGAACTATAAGATGACTTCAGAATTAGAGTGAAAACAAGAGAGATGATTGAGGATGGAAGAACAGCAAGCTGGAACTACTTTAACAAGGGAGATATACTCACTCTAAGAATTGGAAGCAGATGGAACTCCCAGATTTACTCTGAGGCTTCTCTGACTCAGTTCTAAGGCACCATGTCAATTTTAATTTAAGCACACACTCCCTCAGTATACAGCTGGCCTGCGCAAAATCCAGGCACTAATATCTACTGAACTGACTGAGGGAAAAAATGCATTAGCAAAATAAGGAGGTGAAGAGAGGCAGCATATTTGCAGATACCCTCTTGACTTCTATCTAAACTCTCCCTAGAGGAAGACAACCTCATATCAAGGTTTCAAAGAACCTGAATTTCAAAGCTGCCATGCCACTTACTCATGCTGCACACTTAAGACAACTCAGCCAAGTTCTGAGCCTGCTTCTAATGATAAAGGGGCAACAGTATCTCTCAAATGGTCAATTTAGAAATAAAATAATGCACATTGAATAGAATGGTGGCAATCACATAGCAGTCTATTGGGTAAATATTAGCTTCTTTTCCCGATACTTCCAAGCATGACTCTGGGGTCAATTCAGTAACTCTGATAGCGTATGTCTAAGGACTATGAAATCACCTGAATCTGGAGGCTTAATTATTCTAAACTGATACATTCCAGAGACTGAATAGGATACTGAGGAATGAGACAAAGGACCCTAGAACAAATTTCTCTAGGAAACTTACCCCATCACACAGGAGAGGGTGAACTGCAAAAGAAAGAGGGTATCAGCCCAGCCTTCAAAATCCATTGCCTGTAATAAACAAGAAAGCATCCAATTTTAGAGGTCTTCAAAATCAGCTCTACTAGCCATTAGTCAAAATACTTCTATAAGTGGCTCCCAACACACAGATGCACATACTTACAGACATTTCCTGTATCACTCCATGGATAGAGAAAGATGGTCAAGAACTTCATTTAATATGAAGTTTCAGAAAGTTTTCTCCTTTCTAAAATGGAATGTGAGGGAGATATGTACTTCTCTGTGTTGGTACAAAGAAACTGATGATTGCTTGCAGGCACAAGACATTTGGCTATTTCTCCAGAATGGCTAGTGTTAAGGGCTTTCCCAAATGTTAAAACATATTTTCTCCCAAACATGTGAAAACTCATGGATAGCCTTAGCTACACCTAGCTGAAGTTTGTTCAGGGAGAATTATTATTTTAAAATAGTTGATTGTAGAAACAAGGTTTTTGTTATTTTCAAGCCAAAAGGGAAATAATGAAGAGAAATGAAAGGATGAATGGATTACCTCATTTCTTATCCAAGAGGATGGGCTTACTCTCAGGAATATATAATTTCTCTTGCATTATCATTCTGATGAGCAAATTTGAGAAACTAGTCTTTATCTCTCCTACAACCTGTCCAGCTTCAATTCTTGCCAGAGTTTGAGGGTTCTGGTAATATCAGGCTACCAGTAGTTTATAAAACATAACATGAAGCCTCACATTCACCTGTCTTTGCTAGGAATGTCCTTTCCCACAACAGTCTGATTCTGGCTGATCCATCAAACTAAAACTCACACAGCTGTTTTGTGAATCTTTTCCTGATGAAACACCAACCCATCCCCCTTTGTGCCTCAGGAGACTTCTAGGGCTGTCTAAACTCCAAGTCTGGCTACAAGGTATATAATGACTGTAGGCTATGGGGGAGCAGGAAGTTGGTGGGGAGGGAAGGACCCACAACACATCTCTAATACAGCATTTCACAGACAGGAGACATTCAGCATGTTTGTGGCTCATTCTTTGTTATGTCTTAAAAGCAAGATCCACCAATTTCAAGTGTATAATCCCATGAATTTTGACAAATGTATACAGTTGTATAACCACTACTAAAATCATAATACAGAAATTTCAACCTGAGACCATAAAATTCCTAGAAGAATTCATAAGGAAAAATTTCTTGAAACTGGCTTCAGCAACAACTTTTTGGATATGATACCAAAAACAGAAGAAAATAGGTAGGGCTGAGCCAAACTAATAGGCTTCTGTATAGCAAAAGAAACAATTTAAAAAAAAACTGAAAAGGCAGTCTATGAAATGGGGAAAATATTTGCAAACTATATATCTGACAAGGGCTAATATTCAAATATTTAAGGAACTTGTACAGCTCAATAACAAAAGTCTAAGAATTCAATTTAAAAGATAAAGGAGCTGGATAGAAATTTTCCCAAAGAAGACATACAAATAAATAGTAAGTACACAAGAAGGTGCTCAACAACACTAACATCATAGAAATGGAAATCCAAACCAGAATTTGATAGATAACACCTCATACTTGTTAAATGGTTGTTATAAAAAAAAAAAAACAAGCAATAACAAGTGCTGGTGGAGAAAAGGGGTATGGAGAAAAGGAAACCTCTTGTGCATTGATGGCAGGAAATGTAAACTGGCATCGCCAATGGATGTACTAATGGAAAACAATATGGTGATTCCTCAAAAAGTAAAAACTACAACAATCATATGATCCAGCAATTCCACTTCTGGGTATATATTTAAAGAAAATGAAACCAGGATCTCCAAGAGGTATCTACATTCCAAGTTCTTTGCATCACTAGTCTCAGTTAAAATATGAAAACAATCTGAAGTGTCCATCACAGATGAATGGATAAAGATGTGATTTACAGAAAAAGAAGGAAATCCTATGGCTGGCAACAATATGAACAGAACATGAGGGCATCATGTGAAGTGAAGTAAGTCAGAGAATGACAAATATGACAGGATTTTGACTTAAATGTGGAATCAAAAAAAGCTGAAATCACAGAAGAGTATAATAGAATGATGGTGCCAGAAAGGTGGACATAGTGGTGGGAAGAAGGAAGAAAGGGTGTATATCAAAGCATACAAACTTCTAGTTATAAAATGAACAATCTGTGGATCTAATGTACAGCATAGTGATTATTGTATCATATACTTGAAAGCACATCTTAATGTACATTTAAAGAAGTAGATCTTAACTGTTCTTAAACACAAAAAAAGAAATAGCAATTATGTGAAGTGATGGAGGTATTGAGTAAGGCTACCGTGGTCATCATCTCATAATATTTATCAATATTGCACACTTTAAACTTACACAATGTTGTATGTTAATTACACCTCAGTAAAGCTACAGGAATATAGTTGCCACCCAGAAAGCTCTCCCCTGCCCTTTTACAGTCAATCCCAGATCCATTTACAGTCCCTAGAAACTTTTGATCCACTTTTGTTACTAGATTTTTTGCTCTTCAACAATTTCATATGCATTAAATGGAATTGTACAGTATGTATTGATTTATATCTGGCTTCCTTTATTTGGCATAATACTTTATGAGAAGCACTCATGCTACTGCATGTATCAATAATTGATTTAGTTTACTGTTGATTAGTATTCCATCTTACAGCTATACCATTATTTGTACATCTATTGATAGCTACTAATCAATGGACAAATTGGTGTTTCCACGACTTGTGATGAATAAGGCTGTAATGGACTGCTGAGTAAAAGTTCCTCTGTGGACACGTTCATTTCTCCTGGGTAAATATCTAGAAAATGGAATGACTAGTTCTTCCAGTAAGTGCATAAATGTACCTTTAGCTACTAAACTGTTTCCCAAAGTAGCAATACCATTTTGTATTCCCATCAGTATTGTATGAGAGTTCCTATTGCTCTACAGTCTCATCAGGACTTGAAACTGTTTGTGCACTGTTTATCGAAAGAATTATGCTTTCTCATTAATTTATTTTGACACCTTGACAAAAACAGCTGACCACACTGCTTATTTCTAGTTCTTGATTCTCTGTTCTGTTTTACTGATCTGTCTACTGATCAGGATAAGACAGACATCTTTACCTTATCCTGAACCTAGTATCTTTATCATTATAGCTTTATAAGAAATCTTGAAATTAAGTAGAATAGGTCCTATAGCCCTGCTCTTTTTCAAAACTACAATTTGAGTATTCTAATTCCTTTGCAGTTACATCTACATTTTAAGTAAGCTTATCAATTTTTACCAAAAAAAAAAGCAACAACAACAACAACAAAAAACACCCAACCATGGGATTTGGGTTGAATCTACAGGTCAATTTGGGGAGAATTTACAAGTTAGCAATAACAAGTCTTCCAATTCATGAACATTTATAAACCAAAAAATCACAAAGTTACATCTTTTCAAATTTCTTTCAGTGATATTTTGTTAACTTTAGAGTACAGATATTAACACATTTTGTAAAACTTTTCCCTAATATTTCAAAATTTTGAAGTTAGTTTAAAGCATTCTTTTCTAGATTTCTAAGGATCTCCTACATATATGATAGTGCTATAGGGACAAATTTACTTCTTCCATTTTCACAGTCTGAATTTTAATCTCTTAATTTTATTATGTTGTACTGATAAGGTTCTGTAGCAAAATACTGATTCAGAACATTATATAAAGGCAGACATCTTTACCTTATCCTGAACCTAGTAAAAAAGGTATTCAGTCTTTTAACATTCATATACTAGTAACAGATTTTTTGGTAGATAAACTTTATTAAGGTAAGAAAGTTCCCTTCTATTCATTGTTTGCTGAGAATTTTAAACTCATGAATAGGTATCAAATACTGTCAAATATGTTTTCTCCATTTATTGACATGGTTTTATTTTACTCTTGTTTGATGTGGTGAATTGCACTGATAGATATTTCAGTAATCTTAATTACTGAAATAAAAACATCTTGATTGTGACATATTGCCCTTGTAATGATTTGTCAACTTTTGGTAAAAGGTAATGCTGGAAAAATGAAAATAAATTGAGAAGTGTCCTATTTTGTATATAATTTATGTAAAAATGACACGATTTCTTTCTTCAACATTTGGAGTTTAAGGAAGTGATCAGAAGCTGGAGTTTTCTTTTTGAGAAAATCTTGATGAACAACTTAAATTCTTTTAATAGAAATAGGGCTACATAGTTCTAATAATTAAGACCCAATTTTTGAGCTTAGGGCATAGTGCTTATAATGTTACCTTATTGTCCTTTTAATAAATGTAGTAAATGCAGACCCTGTAAAGATGTCGTTCTTCATTCTCCCTGTTTGTCTTAATCAGTTGGTTATGATTTAGTAATTTTATTATTTTTTTCAGAGAACCAATTTTTAACTTCATTTCTTTCTATTTCATTGATTACTACTTTATCTTAACTTCTTTACATTTACTTGGAGTTTCATTTGTTCTTACTTATTCTAGATTAAGGGAAAGGCTTTGATCATTTACTTCAGATCTTTGTTCTTTACTAACACATGCATTTACTTAAACTATGAACTTTCCTTTAAGCACTGTATTATTGTCATTTCACACGTGTTGCTATATTGATTTTCAATGAGCTCAAAATATATTCTAATTGTTTTTTTCTTTTTCTCTTTGACTCATGATATTTACAGCTATATCTATTTCCGAACATTTGGAGACTTCTCATATTTCTTGTTATTAATTTCTAGTTTAATTTTGTTTTGGTTTAGGGAACATATTTTATAAGATTTTAATTCTTTTAAACCACTAAGACTTTCATTGTGACTGACAATATTATTTCATTGTGACTGACAACATAGTACCTATCGGTAAATGTCCCAGGTGCACTTGAAAATAATGCACATACTGTTGAGTGCAATGCTCCATAAATGTAAACTAGATCAAATTGGTAAATGGTGTTCAAGTTTTCTATACACTTGCTTTAGTTGTTTTTATCAATTACTGAAAGAGGAATGCTTAAATCAACTATATTTATTTATCCTTTCTGTTCTG